ACTGTACGGTAACTAAAAAAAATTCTAAAATCCAATCAATCTTTTTATTTACAAGCGATATAACGATCAAAATAAGGTGCACAACGTGTATTGTTTATATTAGAAACGTCACGCTTTCGACTCGTCTTGATGAAAGGTCCCGGATGAAAAATGGCTGCGCCTATGGAGATTTCTGTGGAGAGTGTATTATATCAACAAACGTCAAGTTTGGCATTGGGTTTGGGGAATTACCAGGGAATTATATCAAACCAGCAGCCTTGAGAGAATATCTCTGCTCGTTATTTATATACACTCGACAAACGACGTCATTTTGGGACTTTTTTGTAAAAGCGGCATGTTTTCCTGTTAAAGTAAACCGGTAGCCGCATCGCAAATGTATGGGCGTAGGTACATATCAATTACATAGAAATATAGACTATATTTCTATGTATCAATTACTATCATACAGCCGAGGTTAGATGTAGGGTACCGGAATCTGCGGAGATTTGCCGAGTGGTAAACAAGGGAATCCGAAGACAATGGCGGGCGCTGTTGACGGGACCGATATTAATAACGCCAAAAGATCGGACAAGAGGTGTATTGCTTATGGCTGTGATAATAAAAACATAATAATTATAATAACGTTTCACTCCATTACTTTCCGTTTGAAAATAACAGTTATTTTAAAACGATAGGCTAGTTTTGTGGTGACAAATCGAGACATATGGACAGGATCACCGACACGCCATCAGGCATCATATTCATTCAGTGTTTTGTTCGGCACATTTTTTACAGACGAGTAGACCTACTACCCTTTCAAGCATATAATTTTGGAAGCAACAGGACAAACGCCAGTCACATGTGTCTTATCAGATGCTGTCCCTACTGTGGATTTCATTTGTGAATCAGTCGTAACCCGAGCAAACCGCCTGAGATGTAGATCATTACATGAGATGTGATAGGCCTTACGGGCGCTATTGCACTTTCGTACCTCTACCAGTTCCCGTGGTCGTAGACACTTGAAATTTTCAGAGGTTGTTAAGGGGGACTAGCAACGACCACACACCGACCTTTTAATTTCTAACGAGAGAAAACTTCATCCGTTTGACGCCATTTGCTTTGTTTACTATTTAGACTCGAATAACAAGACACTAAGACGGAAACCGACACACTGCACTAGCTGCCTAACACCGCAGTTCATAAAAATTAATATAATTTTCGTATACTTTAATTTTTGCCCGAATCCACCATTTTCTATAAAATAATATTTGTTGTTGATCAGTGGATTGGCCTTTAGGTGTGAATATTGCCGTGACCATGATTTTGACCTCGAGTCCAAACTTCCCATCCATATCGGGGCCTTTGCGTTTATGCTTGCCGTGGCCTTATTTCGAGGTGAAAGCAGAGACGACGTCCTTCAGAAAAGATAATTGGGTCAAAGTCGTAGGTCAAGGTCATCTTACAGAAAACTAAACTCAAACTTTTCAAAGTCATTTTTGGGACATTTGACCTTGACTTGAAATCTATTTCTATATGTCTTACAAGGATTATGTGTAAAAGTATGTAATACGAAGATTGTGGAGTGTGGACCCTCTAGAGCTCACAATTTTTATCCGATTTTTATGAAACTTAAAATATATCTTTATATCCCAAAGATCTGTCCCTTTTCGTATTTGCACATTTCAGACCATAACTTTCGGGATTATTATTACTGATTGTACAAAAAAAAATCACGTTTGTTTTTAGCATGTTGGGGATCACGTGGCTAAGTGGCTAAGACGCTGGCTCGCTAGTCTGGAGGTCGGTTGTTCGATCCCTGCATTGGCCGAGAAAGTTCATCCCGATTTTCCGGCGTGGTTTCCCCTTGTCAGTGATGCAGGACGGAGGGCCTGACAAGGACAGCTGTCTAGTCGTTCGGATGGGACGAAAAATAGGTCCCGTGTACAAATTGGCGTGCACGTAAAAGATCCCTTGGCAGTTGGAATTCGATTTAAGAGTAGGCCATAGCGCCGCTGCCCGGGCAAAATTTCCCTCATAGCACACTGTATGGCGTATGCCTGTCTTCATTAGCCCAGTTTAGGAGCAAAACAGTAGGACGTTAAACCCCATTTCATTTCATTTCATTTTTAGCATGTTCTCTATCCATCTCTTGCAAAATGTGGTGTATCCTGTCTGTCAGCCGCTGGTTATCATTTGGGGTAAATTTATAGATTTTCAAGTTTATCTATTTTGATCCTGAAGGGGAAAATTTAGTAATTTCTTTATTGCTACTTGAGCAAGCTTTTGTAGGAATTCATTTATATTGCAGTAAGGCCACACCAATTTGAATTTCTGTTTTTGGGAATCCCCTATTAAAAATTCTGCCCCCAATTTCTTCAGGAAAATCAACTACAGCGCAGTAAGGACGCCACCCGGTCTGACGGGGGTTTAACCGGGAAAAGATAGGCTTCTGATATCCAATATTAAAGAAAAAATAAACATTTTACCATTGGTACACGCATTGTGTACCATAGTGCGTTTTATCGTCATTTGTAACAAGTGACCAGAAAGAGTTAGGCTAGACATATTCCACAACTGATGTCATACGGCGACGAAATAACTTATCTGGAGAGCATGTGTAATAGACTGGAATAACCAGACGCTAGAAATTTCTATTCGGTTGAGACTCATGCCGTATTTCGCTGGACCTAACTGATTTGAAATTAGAGTCAAAACGGAAACAATTGAATGTAAATCAGTTCATATACAATCAGATTACATTATTATTTGCGTTGCGACCCATTTGGGTCAATTTCTAGGTCCCAAATATTAGCGATTTAGCTCCTTTAAATTTAAAAAAAAACAGCGCAAGAATTGAGTGAGGTTTTTTTATTGATCACGACTCCAGATAATTAAAAATTAAATTGGTTTGGCCTAAAATAAGGTTACTAGACACCCAAGAGCAAAAATATCTAGACATTTTCTAAGACAAAGAAATTACATATATACTGAGCGCCATTGAAAACGCATCACTTAGTTTTTCGTATAACAAAATGATCCTGTAAACATATCTTATTTATTTTGCTTCTTATTGTGAACAATATTCAAATGGGAACACATCAATAACAACACATTTGTACACTTATGGATGTTTAATCTGTAATCAACGGTACAAAGTCAGAGGGGTCAAAACAAAAAGTACGACACAGATGTCAGTAGCGCGTGTGTCCTCCACGGGCTCTTACGCACGCTGTGCAGCGACGTCGCATGGAATTTACCAATGTTTGAAAGAAGGCCTGGGGCAAATTGTTCCATTCTTGGAAAAGAGCAGCTTCTAAAGCAGCAATGGTGTGCATCTGTGGTCTCCGATACAGACGGCGTCCAATCTCATCCCAGACATGTTCTATCGGTGCCATGTCCGGAGACATGGCTGGCTAGTCCAAGACATTGATGTTGTTAGCAGCCAGGTAGTCCATACTAAAACGGGCGGTATGAGGACGTGCGTTATCCTGTTGGAAGTGCTGAAGTTGTGGGTGCGCTCGAAACATCGGAACAACAATTGGTTGCAAGACATCATCACGGTAGGCTACAGCATTAACGCGACCCCTGCAAATGTGTAGGGCGGTCCGGTGATGAAATGTGAACCCTCCCCACACCATTACACTTCCCCCACCCCATCGATTCGTTTCGAAGACGCAGCAGTCTGCAAGACGTTCCCCAAGACGTCTCCACACACGTTGACGGTCATCAGCGTGATAAAGATGAAAGCGACTCTCATCACTGAAGAGCATACTTTGCCAGTCTACTCTTCTCCATGTCCGGTGTCCTTGAGCCCATATCAAACGCCGCTGAGGATAGCTCCAACATATAAGGTCGTCGTACACGGAGTCCTGCTTCTCTTAGACGACGTCTTACGGTGTTGGCACTTACTGGTCCTTGTCTTCCGACGACTGCTGAACCTGTTCGAGTCGCTGGGCGGAATCTGTCACGCAGATGAGTGACCCGGATGTAGGGGTCTTGAGCCTGGGTTGTAACGCGTTGTGGACCAGGACGTTGACGGTCACGTGTTGATCCAGTAACTCTAACACGTTCCACCAACCTTACAATAGTGGATTGATGACAATTGAAGTGTCTGGCAATAGCACGTGTAGACATGCCAGCCCTGGACATTCCCATGGCTTCATTCCGCTGATTTTCAGTAAGTGTCGGCATCTCTAGCTCGATTCCTTCACACGTCCAACAATAAATTACGACAGATTGACGTTTCACAGTTCATGTACTGCACATTAAGTTGAAAACATGCCTTTAAAGGGCTCCCACACAATGCTGCACGTGAATATTGGTGTTTTCATGTTCATCTCGTGCAATTTTTTTGGGTGCACACGGGCCGATATTTTTTGCGTTTGAGAGTATTGTGTGAAACAATAGTTCATAGTATTGCATAATATTATACATACAAAACCACCTAGTAATAAAATATTTGGGAAAAAAAAGTGATGCGTTTTCCATGGCGCCCAGTATATATTGATAGTCGAATGGGCGACTTGTAGATAATAGAATTGGACATACCTCTCTTTATTTTGTTTACTCATTGATTTTAACTAAAGTCAAACACCAAGATAATTACACCTTTGTGTAATGTTGAAGACTTGCCAGACTTGCCTAATTAATCCAGAATTTATCCAGTCTTTAATTAAAACCCCACTCCCATTGCCCATTAGCCCACTTCCTATTATTTGCTACTGATTGAGTTTAAAAGGTAAAATTTTATTTCAATCTTATTACAAAATTGCCAAAGAACCATGAAAAAAAAAACTGGTCGGTAATCTCACGATTTGTGTACTATGTATTAGACATTTTGCTGAAGGGATCGACTGTTATTGCAACTAAACCCTAGAACAAGAATGGATAATCCTATCACCAAGTGACAAGAATGATGGACAGCCTCCGCCAGCAATGAGTTGGTGTATATTAACACTAATGGAAAAGAAGCGATTTCTATATTATTTAGATTCCAGATACATGAATATAGAAAGTTAATAAACAGTGAACAAATGTTTTATTATATTGATATATTTATATGTCTAATAATAATATTCTAAAATATAACCTGCATAAAACAACAAAACAATAAATAACAATATTGTGTAATGAGAAAAAAACAACTTTTGGTCTTCGAAGGAATTATTAGTGAGCAGAAATTCGGCCGTGTATCTGTTATCACTCGTCACATCAGTCAGTTTTATAGAGGGGTGACTCGTGTTTTCCTTTGGCGTTCGTCACTTCCGATTCAGGAAACCTGTATTACTCAGCTATCGTAGCAATGATCTCTGTGTTAAAATTATATTTGGAATGTGTTTAACCAGCTCTATCACATATGTGATAATGACTGGCACCAATATTGTCCTTTAAACCTTCAGATGTAAAATAAATTTTGGCCGAATAAAGAAGTTTGGCATGTCCATGATTTGACAAGTCAATAATAACACCAATTTGATTCACAAAGTACGAAAGGGCAAAATGCATGCCATAAGTCATCATAAGTAAACCTAAAATATTATGTTCTATTACATTTTGGTACAGAGATCAACACTAGCTTATAATTTGTGATAAGAATACAGGTGTGTAGTTGAGTTTAAAGTATCATATATTGTATAATACATTCCCGTCAAAGAATTAATGCTCCACTATATTGCATGATTGTAAACCAAATTATTACATGTGTTGAAATCTTCCTGGGAAGACGAAATAAAATGATTAATGTATTCAGGAGGATTTTCTACCAAGGGGATGTGCCAACCATGCCATGTTAATGTTTTACAGTTTGCCATTTCTGTAGATTTTACTTACTTGTGTACCTGCATTTAAAGTGGAAGTTGTCCACTTTAAACAATAGATGGAAATTGACCAGATTATATCATAGCTCTGCGGTACAGAAAGGGAACAATAAGTCATTGCTACAAGCTTTGTTTTTTTTTTCTTTTAGGTTTTAACAACACAGGGCTGTAATATCCTGGTCCACCATATAATACACACCACTACAAAAACTGTACGATCATCTGGGTATAAAGCAATCGCACGTTATTGAAATAAAAATTTCGGTTACATGAGTGTTTTTATCAAATTGTTGTCCTTTTCTTAAAGTCGTACAGAAAATCGTTACAGCGTTAGTGACGGTTGTGTAATGTAAATTGGAAGTTTGAGTGAGGCATGTAAATCAAAAGACGATAAACTTACTAAATAGATAAATGTGGCGTCAACAATCTAATTAAAATATAGATCTATATTTCGTTTCGTTTTTTTATACTTTCGATGACCTACACCAAGTGTATTAAAGACAAGTAAAATCTAAATTTTGAACTATAAAAACGAAACGAAATTGGATCTGTGTTTTAATCAGTTTGTGGCTTCAATTACAATTGACGTCATGATTTGACACGAAAGCTATTCAGTGTGGTTTTAAATATTATCTGTTCATTTTTTGCGTTAAAAATACATTATGCAAGAGCTAAATCTGCCTATATCATGTCTTTCTTTAGGCCTGAAATGTTATATAAACTTTTAATTAGACGTTTATTAACATGAAAAGACCGTAATCAACTCTCGATGCCATCTTATGTGTCAGATTGTCACTGGATTTGAATCCTATCTGCAGCTCAACGCTCATTGATGATTAAATCCAAAAATGGATAATCGAGACTATGTTTTTTTTATCGTACCGACTTTAGTAATGTTGCCAGAGGCTAGACCGAAAAATCAATCGCTATTATCTCGGTTCAGAGTGGAGCAATTTGACTGAAATTTTCAACATATTCCCATTATATTATCTAGTTCTTTTATCTATTATAGTGAGAACTGCCAGCTCTTTATCTTATCTTCCATAATGTATCTTTAATAAAGCTACAGGTATAACTTCTAAAGGAAATAAAGACGTCACAAGGTATTTGGTAGTTTTTTATCGTCTATTATTATAGTAACCTATCTGGGTTTTTTTTTTACATCAAACATTCTAAAGGTAATTAACATTTCTACATGTTAAAATATATATTTTTAATAAAATAAATTTTGTTAAAAAATAAAACAACTTCATTTATATTTTAATATTAACAGTTTGGACAAAATCACACTTTAATATTTATTTTTTCACAACGCAAAAGCGGCACTCATCTGAGCACAGCGAAGGGAAGTTGATCAATTTCGACTAAAATCATTAGGCTATTGAAACCGAGCGGCTGTGTTTTTTTCGGTTTCTCAGCCACAAATGGTATTTTGGATATTGTTTTCAATAGGTAGATTATGGATTGGAAATTTGTATTCTGGTACAACAAAAATGTATAATTAACCATGTGAACCCTTCAGATGAGAAATGGTTTCAGGAGTTTCAAAAAAGAGTAAGCCAAATGCTTTATTGAAATAAAAAAAATCCCGTTAATATTAATATTAATCTATTTTCTGCTATACACAGGGTCATTCACAGCACCGACACCGTAACGATATAAACCGTGACCTCTAATACCGAAAGCACTTGGAATAATTCCATCCTTAATGCTTTTTATTGAGTATATGTGTCAAATATTGTACGATACAGCAAGGTTGTAAATTCTATTATACAACTAAAGAATTTAAATATATGTATAAACATAGCAAACTAAATTTGTTTGGGGGGGGGGGGGTCTAGGAGATCAAAATAATTAAACATCAATTTATATATTGGAATATATTTACTATATAAAAGAAAATAAATCATCTGTAATCTCTTCTGTAAAATACACCACAATATAAATGGTTATAATACAAAGTATATAAAGAAAGATAATACACAAATAATAAGCAATATTAAATTACTTATTGATTTAAATTCATAATAAATATATTTGAATCGCTTGAAGTACTGTAACCAGTAGGCATTCTTATGGTGATGCAGGCCTTAAGCACCGAAGCTTCTATTATATACTAAAGTCTATGTTGAAAGATTCGAAAATCAGACCTTGATAGTTTCTGTTGAAGTCATAGTTTGTATTCATCTACAAAAAAGATGGTATACCTTGGTAAGAGAGCTGGTTGAAAAGTTCTAAGCCTGAAAAGGAAATGAAATGAAACCTACTTTTGCCATCAACAAGTACAACTTGATTGTGGATCAGAAACGGGTCAGATTCTTGACGCCCCGTGATAATCTGCGCCGTTTTGAAGCTGATCCTGATAATCTTTTGGCCAGATCTGTAACCATGGATGATGCCGGTTTCCATAAATAAAAAAGTAACTATTCGTCATTTTCCTAGTAATGATGACGTCATGTCAGCTGTGAACAATTTTTTTTTTTTTTAGGGTGGCTGAAGAAAATTTCATCGTGACCGGCAACCAGGCCTTGCAACATCGTTGGCAAAAGTGTGTACACCTCGACGGGGACAATGTAGAAAATAAATGGACACCATTCCATACACTAAAAGCTTCCTTACCTCTAAGCTTCAGATTTTGTTTCATCTTTTTTAGCTTCGCCATCGGCAGTGGCCTCAGTAGCGGGTTCAGTGGTAGCTTCCTATCAAAAAATATACACAATTCATAATAAAGCTGTTGTTCCATCCTCTATTTAAAAACACACACAATGAAATGCGGTTTAACATTCTGCTCCGACTGGGCTAATGAAGGCGGGCTTACGCCATACAGTGTGCTGTAAGGGAAATTTTGTCCGGACTGCGGCGCTACGGCCTACTCTTACATGTACATCGAATTCCAACTGTCAAGGGATCTTTTACGTACACGGGGCCTCGGTTTTTTCGTCCCACCTGAACGACTAGACAGCTGTCCTTGTCAACCCCGCCCGGGTCCTGACCACTGACAAGGGGAAACCACGTCGTAAAATATTGATGGACCTTCTCGGCCAACACCGGGAGCAAAACCACGACCGCCAGGATAGCCAGCCATCGTCTTACTCTCTGAGCCACCCCCTATTTAAAAATATAGTACAAAATTCAACACAAGGCTGGTGTTCCATAAGCTATTTAAAAATATACACAATTCGAAACAAAGCTGCTGGGTGGTACGAGATGTTCTAGAAAGACAACAGTTTACTATATAGTTAATACTTACCTTTGGTCTTGGTTTTGGTTGTGCAGTGGGATCCAAAATTATTTTGCCAATGTTCTTACGATCCTGGATCTTTTGCATAGCATCTCCAGCCTGAAATGGAGTGAGAGACATAGTTACGTGTTTCGTACCTTCGTAAGTAGTTTCATTACGTGTTTCAGACCTTTGTATTGTTTTCGTGAGGGTTTTTATTATTTTTTTCCCCCGACTTTAGTCATACGTTGCAGTCAAAACTGTGCATGGTGCCAATATTCTGCCAACGTAGGCAATGTTGGCCGCCGTGCAACTAAATATTAAATATAAATTGGGTTCTTTTTGACAAACAGGAAGTGTTTTACGGATGGGACAATAAATAATTTCAGATTGCCCATATCTCGATTATTTCTCAACGGATCTTCATTTTTGGATTCTTTGGAAGAATCCCATATGGGCTCTGACAGACGGTTTTTCGAAATTCGGAAGTTTGCTCGATTAATATTAGCATCAGTGATTTGCGAAAGTTTTCTCCCACCATTTTATCGACATTCAAGATGGCGTATCTAAGTCACTATTTGGGTAGCAAGTTGAAACCTGATAGGAATACATCGATGCCTTCAAAATGGCATATTAAAAAAATTTGTAACGGCTTCCGGAAATATCCGAGGCCTTCCGATTTTTCCCGAACGTGAATAATTCTCTCCATTTTAAAAATAGACTAAAAATCACACATGGTGGTGTTAGCCCCAGATATTATCTTTCATTTTCAGAGACCTTGTTCCATAACTTTTTCAACCGTTTGGCCGCCATTTTGATTCCGATTTTCGAAAACTTTTCCTGTTTTAAACCTACTTCAAATGGCAACAATTCTTAGGGAGCCGATTTTTAAATTTCGATTTTGTTTACTTCCGCTGTCACTTTAAATTTTGTTCGACTTTTCAACTTCTATCTGGTGACCTAACATTTTCATGACTCTTGAACTTCTCATATATAATGACCCCCATGTCTACTAACAATTGATATAAAAATGTTCGGTCTTGGAAGTATAACTTCCGGTTTTATTAAGAGTTCAAAATGACAATTTTTTCGACTTTAATAGATATGAAATAAAATGAAATGGAGTTTAACGTCCTACTGGGCTAATGAAGACGGGCATACACCATACAGTGTGCTGTGAAGGAAATTTTGCCCGGACAGCGGCACTACGGTCTACTCTTATATCGAATTCCAACTGTCAAGGGATTTTTTACGTGCACGCCAACGTGTACACGGGACCTCGGTTTTTCGTCCCATCCGAACGACTAGACAGCTGTCCTTGTCAGACCCTCCAGCCTGCATCACTGACAAGGGCGAAGGACGCCGGAAAATCTGGATGAACTTTCTCAGCCAATGCAGGGGTCGAACACCCGACCTCCAGGCTAGCAAGTCAGCGTCTTACACACCGTGACACCCTGGACTTAAATAGGTATTGGATCTTACTATGCTCAATAATGCATGGTGTAACTTGATTGTTGTCGTGACAAGGCGTGATCTGACGTAGGCCTACTCTTTGGAGTTTAGTTCAATTTGTTTTTAATATTTTGCTAATTTCAGAGGATTAATCTTGTCTATTAGAAATGGATTAAATATTTCATGAGTCGGGGATTTGGACCAAATTTTTTCTGTGAGATGGGTTAGTACCCAGATACATCCCCACAAAATATTAGGTTGATTCAGTTGATACCATCCTGGCAAATTGGAAAAATATTTTTTTAAAAGAAAAATACTCAAAAAATGGGCTAATTTGGAACTAAATTTGTATGACCTGTTATTCGGACAATAATTTATTTGGAGAGACGAAAGTTTGGGCATTAGTAGGACCACCAGGCTCCTCCTACACAGAGAGTTTTAAGTTTCTACTGCCAATGATATCTTGGCACTGACCAGATTCTCAACTCGCTCTGAAAATTGAATTTAATGAAAACCAAAGTGTGAGGCTATAGTTCGTTCTTTGCAGGACTAAGACCAAAGTTGAATGTTATCCACAACTAGCAACCTTCCTACTAACAAAATAAAAAATAAAAATGACCGGCACTGGTGATGCATATGTTTGATCATCTTTACAAAGTTTATATATTCCGCCCAGCCGTCATCAAGTTGATGATTTTGACTTGAGAGAGAAATGGGGAGAGAGAGAGAGAGAGAAATGGGGTTTAACGTCCACTCGACACAAACTAGGTCATTTCGGGACTAACATATGGTTCAATCTTATCTCCATAATTCGCTTGCGCGTAGGGGTCTTTAGCTGTGGGAGGAAACCGGAGGACCCGGAGAAAACCCACGAAGTTGGACAGGCGACCCTACTCCTTGTCACGTACAACCGGGGAATCGAGACCCCGCCAGTTTACTCAATGATAGACCATATGATACAGCTCGCGCGTGCTAACCATTCGGCCATTCAACCCCCCAGAGAAATGAGGTTTAATGTCTATCGACACAAACTAGTTAATTTTGGGACTAACATATACAGTTTTATTTCAATAATTCGCGTGCGCGAAAAGAGGGAAGACAATACCTACAAGCTTGTAATGGAAACCACGCCACTTAACTCTTTGACATACCTTATGATCTAAAGCGTATGTGTTAGACCACTTTTGACTTAACCAAGGGACAAGTTTCACGAATGTCCAATGTAATTTACACAGAATAAACCTTATATGAATATGATATAGTAATGAAATGAAACATATTTCAGCTCTCGGGTAAAAGATCACTACGTTGTCAATAGCTGCCGGGGGTGGGGGTGGGGTGGGGTTGCAGCAGCATCTTCAGTACGTTCTCGTGGCTGGAAATGTTCCGTGGAGAACCGGACAACCGATCACAAACTGTTACGTCCCCCGTGGCTTGAAGAAATTGAAGTGTTTCTGAGGGATGTGCATGTTCGCGCGTGTAACGTGTTTTAAGGATGGGGGGTTTGCAGATGACCCAGTGGCATTGAGCCATACACACATGATCAGCATGACTATACATGCTAAAATTGATTACCGCTATATCTTTAAAATTAACAATTGATAAAATGTTAAAATTGCATATGTATTCTTATTATAGAGCTGTTAAATAATGGCATTGTTCGACGGGTGCGTCTCTTCACTGTCGACTATCTTTAAATGACCGCTGATTATGACCTTTTCTTCCATGGTTGGTTACTTGAATGTGCCAATAGGTTATTTTGGTCAAACGTATTTTAGGAATTAAACCGCGCTTATTCCCATCTGTATTTAGAAGCCGATCAGTGTGTAGAAACATTTGAAAGTTTTAATGGAGAGTTATTGAAAATCAGGAGACAACATACATTACATATTGAAATCTACTGAAGAAGAAGATCACATAAATATATAGGCCAAAAATATCATTACAAAAATAGGGTCCCAAAACTAAGAACATAGGAAGGCAGGTCAGAATCTACGTAAGTGAACACATCTGCTCGAACATAGGTATATGCCGGAGGTTAGCATGTGCATTCAGAATTATCCTGGGTTGTTCTGGAGTGGCATGAAACCTGTTGTGATCTATGCCATCTTCTATTTTGATGATTTCAATATGGAAAACATGACGGTCTGCTAAACAAGGACATCGCCAGATATCAAATGCCTCTCCATGAACACTTAAAACTATGTTTTCTTGTGGTTCTTCTTACATGAGAATGTGGATAACAGATATATCAAGTTTATGATAGTCATGGCAGCCCATTAATCAATACGGTGATCTGCTCCCAAATACAGATCTTAATAAACGTTGTCTGATCACCGCAAAATTATTCATGACTTAGCGAGCGTGGAAGTCTGATTTTGACACGAAAACGTTATGATTTTTGACCAAAATACCCTATTTGACCGGCATTTTCAAATAACGAAACATATAGTGGTAATGGCGATGATCAGTGGTCATTTAAGAATAATCGCTGGTCATTGGTAAAAAAGAGCTGCTTTTGTAAGATTGTGCTGATATAAAAGCTTGCCATGCCAGCCCATACATTAAAACACTTCCCAGCTACTTACTACAGAATACAAATGAGAATAATCGTTGTCTGATTCTGCAAAATTATACACCTGCAGTTACGCCCCTTCCCTATGATGATCGTGAACGTCTGATTTTGTCACAAACACTTTATGATTTTTAACCAAAATAACATATTTGGCACGAGGAACGCTCAAATAACAAAATATAGTACTAATGTTGATAATCGATGGTCATTTGAACTCTTAAAGATAGTCGTCGGTCATCAGTAAAAGAAGAATCGCATGGAAAACACTGATTTTTACACATTTTCAGAATATTGTAGCACACTAGTGGGTTTAGTGCCGGTCGTTTTTTTTTTTCAATATTTGCATGGTCCTCTCGCGGACGCGTTCTTATACATATTCAACGGTATGGTAACCAAAATAAGGATATAAATCCAGAAACACGGAAATGTAATTGTTACCATTAGATCTTGAAACATTAAAGTTTTAAAGCCACTTGAACCATTTTGAGAAAATGTAATTTGAAAATTTTAAACTCCAACTTTTTAATAATTTCTTTCATCATTCGAATTTTGTGACAGCAGATAAAGGAATCATTTGCAATTATCTGTGAGTAATATCTATGCTTTCAAGATTTATCTTCTATGGAATTATGGGGAAATTTCAACGAAAGGTCCCCTGAAAAATCAATGATTTTAAATTACAAAATTTTATGTCTCTTAGCAGCTCAGGAAGATACAGTGCTATAACCTTAAACTTATCTGCCACTTTAAGATGATGTTTAGGGTCCGTTACTCTGTGTGCCTCAATATAACGCTGTGCGTAAATTCGTCCAAAGTCCCATCACATAACTGCCACACTTCGGCACCTACCACTAGAAAGAATGCTGACATGTATTTTTTTTTTCTTTTTGCTTTTGAGTTTATAGCCTAGTACTAAAAGTCTGAGTAGTGGGAGAGAAGACTTTCAAAGGCTTTAAATAGCCTTTCCCAATGAAGGCTTCAATAATAGAGGGGCCGTTTTGGCTTAGTGGGTTGGCCCCAGGTTAGATCCATGCATTACGCCGACAAAGTTCCTAGTGGATTTTTTTTTTTTGGGGGGGGGGGTTGGGTGGCCGAATTGTTAGCATATGCGTGCTGTATCATACGGTCTGTCATTGAGTCATCTGGCGTGGTTTCGATTCCCCGGTTGTACGTGACAAGGAGTAGGATCGCCTGTCCAACCTCGTGAGTTTTCTCCGGGACCTCCAGTTTCCTCCCACTGCAGTTGTATGACCCCCTCTTCAGTTTGAGCAATTTTAAATATTTTAAAACTATGATATCAATAGAAATTCTTAAAATTGTTTAAGTGGCATTTAATAAGTGACTCAGAATAAAACATGATAAATTTTAATTATAATTATGGAATAAAAGTTACGTGGAAATTTATTTCTAGCGACGTTTCCACAAGAGCTCTCTCGACATTACCAAGCAAAAAAGCATCCAAGGAATGTTTACTAGAATGTCTTACATCTTCAAACGCCCATGCTGAATCTATAGTTGGTTTTATCTTTTTATCTTTGTATAATTTCATCAGTTTATTCATGATATCACGAACATACCCATCTTGCCCTTGTTGGAAGAGCAGACGGCGTAGCTGGAACCCACCAATAACTTTATTTTCATCAAACAATTTGATTGGTGATACTTTATCAACCTGCCACCACTAAATAAAAAAGGTTGTTCTGTTTACTATTTATACACAAATTTCATTCAATATTTTATATCAAGTTGGATAAATACTAAAGAAAATAATAAATATGGTAATTTGAAATAAGGTGAATTTAATTGAAACCTGGCGTTGATAACTTTCTACACAACATCGTCTATGATTAGATTCAGATGACAATGTGTTACGAAAAGCTAACACTATTAATTATCATGTTAATAATGACTTGTCAGTAATTATTTTGAAGAAAATATACTGATTTATCACTATAGATGTTGTAATTTTCCAAAAACACTCACAGATTTAGCAAAACTGAAAAAGCTTTTGGTCTCGCCTGTTACTATATTTGATGAACCTGAAAAGAAGCCACAGCAATAAGTATAGTCAAAACCAAATTTATACTAAAACCTTACTGCTAGATAGTTTGACCGCTTTAACCCAAAAGATATTAAAGTTAGCCAAACTTGACACTGATCTGTGATTTTCTAGAAACGCACGAAATCCAAAATATCTGATTCAGCTACCAAAGTTACTCAAATTTGATTTGTTTCACCATAAAGGTTCTTACTTTTGAACATTCCAAATACCAGTATTTAACTCTATGATATAGTGTAATCTACTTAGTTTAGTTTATTTTAGTATATCATACCAAATTATTTGCCTCACCATATAAAATGTATTTTCCCATTGGTTTTAGAAGACTGATACCTCTATTAGTATCATCACCACATAAGCAATCTAACACTATATCTACACCTTGCGGAAATACTCTGAAATAATCACCAAAATAAATTGTTAACACCACGTTGAAGGTTATAATATCCAGTGGCATATTTTATGAATTATCTTGTGTGAATTAGGGCACTTGCGTATACATCCGTGAACAACTGTTAACCAAGTTTATACAAAGAAGAAAATGACATTGAGAATATCAAAACAGTTTTATTTTAAAGAAAATTTTACCAAATTTCCCAAATTAATGTCTACAAAAAAAAAATACAGAAGGAAACACAATGTATAAATAGATTGACAAATAAAGCATTGACAAGACATTAAACCATTGGCGAACTTACTTTCTAACTTCTTGACAATAATCAGTCGCATGGTCATAAATATGAGTTAAATTGTCTCTAACAGAATCATGTTTTCCAGCAGACGCGGTTCCAAAAACAGTAACATCTTCAACTGTTTTACACAGCTGACATATTGCTGTTCCCTGGAAAAACAGAACGAGACTCATGACAATCAAAACTCTCTTTTTTTGTGACAAAGCCTTTCACGACACAGGCAAGTAGAACTCTTTAAGTCTGTTGAGCCTCGACAGACTCAAAGAGTTCTACTTGAGTCGAGCTATCTGGATGATTAGGTTGACAGTCTGTCGTCGTGAACTTTTTAACGTCTTTGCCAAACTAAAACAAGTAGCTACGGTAGTATTATATGGACCAGAGACCGACAATAACGCCATTGCCGCCATCTTCGAATAATGTAATGTCATATCAAAAACGAAGTCGGTCAGTCGATGTGCAATGAACAAGCGTGCCAAGCTTCATGCCGATCTTACTTGAATTGGCGGATCCTTAGGCTTTTTTAGGAGAACATCGCCAACAAGAAGATGGGTAGCGCTTGAGGGTCAGTTACTGGTCAAATTATTCTTTCCAATAAAATGTTTACAGTACAGAAAATGTTCCACCTAACATATCATATGACATGTGTACCCCAGCCAATGCACAATGCCCCAACGAAGTATATAAAATGGTAATAATGTATATATTCAAAGAGAAAACAAAAAATTGAACGAGAAGTCGACAATGAAAGCATTCTACTGTACAAAGACTTTTAAATGCAGTCTAATAGTCTGTGTATCACATCCACCAAGCTTTGTGAATTGAAGAAAAAACAAGACAGATGAATACAGTGGAAAATTGTGTCACTATTTCAGAAAAGAGTAAGTCTCGTGCACGACTTGCATCCCTTTATCACAAATACTAACTATGCGGTTACTAATGAAGTACTGACTTACCACACCACCGGCAACAGCATGCAGTAATAACGACTGCCCTTTTCTTAAATTAGCAATATCAAATAATAAAATATATGCAGTGGCAAAATTCATAGGAAAAGAAGCTCCTTCATGGAATGACATATTATCAGGCATCTTATAAACGTATTTAGCGGGTATGGCTACCAGTTCTGCCCAGCATTTATAGTCACTGAAACCTATAACTCTATCTCCAACCTGTAAAACATAATATGCGCATTTTATTTCAGAATCATTTACTTCAATAATAGCACATCGTTAAACGTTTACAGCGAAACCATACAAATTAGAAACCAATTGTAATACTATTACATACATTTAAACCAGTAGTATTTTCTCCAAGAGCCTCTATTACACCAGAACATTCGAACCCCATAATAATTGGCGTCTTAGGTGGATTCTCTATTACACCCTGTCTTACCATTAAATCGGGAAAATTTAACCCACTGTAATAAATAAATCAAATACATTAAATACCGGGTGGTTGGAGGGGCTGAGTTAGGGTTAAGGGTTTGGTGTCAAGTATTGTTTTTAAATTATATTCAATTAAATCTCTGTTCTTTGGAATTTAAAAAGGACTGATGTGGCAAAAACACATATTAAGTAACAAGAATGTATATAAACAGATTTACATTCATTTTTTACAAATACGTGAGCAGTTCAAATTGGTCGCTCGCGCCTAGTTAGGCCAGTCTACATCGGGAATACTGTTTGATATAGTCTCGGTCACCCAGAACTTCCTAGTCTCTAAGCAATCTATATTTGTTTTTACACACCTAGGGATGTTATTTCCTTTGATCTCCCATGCATGTTATGAAACGTATCAACCTGTTGTGACGTCATCAGAGGGTGATATCAGAGGATAATATCTGATATCGACCCTAGGGACGATATCAGATATCACCCTCTGATGACGTCACAACAGGTTTACGGGCTCTGCAATGCAAAAAGACACAAATTCTTTCTTTAAACATTACATTCACTTTTTTGTACAATGTTGTCAAACGATTCGGACGACGAACTTTGTCAGGCCCATGTTTTATCATCTGACCATCAAGAACTAGTCTGAAACTCAAATTCTGTATTGTGCAGTATATCCACATCAGTTTTATTCGCAGTCCGTAAATGTGAAACTATTCCCATAACTAAATACGGAATTCGGTGGGTAACATTCATCATTTTATTTGCTTACTTCCAAGACTAATCTAGACATCTAAAAAATAAGATCTTACATACTCTTATCTTCCAGCGCACACAGGATATTTCGCTCACTGTCGTGTTTATTATTCCGCCACACTGACCAACTGTTAAAAAAGTTAACAGCCCACTGATTTATGCGTACGGTATTTATGGGCACGGCATTGTTGGCACATTCACTAACGTCTTGTCACTAGAAATTGAAAAGCGTTTATCATTTGTATCTCACAATCCGAAATATCCGAGTACATTAATAGGGTCACCCACCATAAATAAATAGCTCCAAATATCTCGACAATTACACCACAATATTTATATTATACCAAGCCTTAAATCAGTTTCGCACATTTATAGTCACTAAATAAACGGTCATGTTGTACTTAATAAGCTATGACCATTTAACCATCTATAAATAATACACTGAAAGATGGTTACGAGTGTCGGCCATAACACCCGGGCACTTGTGAGTAAAAAAATAGGTTACGTGCCCTTGTTTTGAAATTAGTTTCGCTTAACCAGTCTACCGACCATTCTAAGTCTGGTTGACAGGCAGGGATAATCGAGACTACTTTTTTACGAAACATAACAGAAATCTGGAACAAGAAATTGAATTTAGAAACACGCACGTTAGGCAACTCAACAATTGTTTTAAGAACCCTGTAAAAGTAATATGAAACTACTGCTAGTATCATATTCTTGCCTAACCAAAGTGCTTCAAAGATATTATTTGTACTAAACCAAAAGATGCCTCTCCTAACGGTACAGTTAATGATCAAGCAATTCAAAAAATAAAACGAACGTTATTTCCAAAACTGCTGTAATAACCAAAAAGATAAATTTTACTGCTATTCAGAATCGTCAACAATAGATTGTTTTACGGCTGTAATAGTTGATAGATGTGTAGAGAATTGCACATACGATCGCTATTTATAGTCTCATAGACTCTAGTGCTGAGTATTATCATACTGCGTGGTTAGCCAGAAATCATTTCGAGACAAGCCACTGGAGCGTGCACATTCGCCGTGTCGAGTCCAACTTTCTGTAGAGAAAATTTTCAATGCAAGGATCACCCTAACATTAAATCCTTGTTAAATATTCTCTGCATAGATTCTGCACTTTGGCTAGCTTTAAATAATTCTTTGTAAGAATCTACGTTTTCTTTTTCAACCATATAGGCCTGCAGCCAAAATTTCTAGCGCGAAGTTCCGCTACAAGGTCCTCCCTAATACACAAACTATACATTTTTGGAAAGCTTAGAACACCAGGAACGCAAATCCAGAGAGTTCCAAGCAAAATGTTTGCACTAACTCGATTTAGGGCCAGATGAAAATTGTGATAATTGTCAAGTAAATGCTATATTTATACTACCAATTGTGAAGTTGACATAAAATTAAATATTGGTGAAAACACCCGATGCCTTCATCCTATGCAAAGAATATGCTGTTGGTTAAATTTGATTTAAAGCAAAATGCAGAAACCATAAAGGACAGGGGAAGATACAGAATTTCGGACATCCATTTATGGTAAAAGGAGTTATCTCCCTTTATAGAAAATATCAATAATTATTGATAACAGTATTTTGTTTAAAGAATTTATTCGATAAACTGAATAGGATTTAACTACAGACAGACTAGGGTCTATACCAGTTCAACTTTTTTTCAGATAGGATTTGAGGCTAAAGGTCTAACAAATATTTAAACTGAAACATAGTATCTACAGATATTTAGTTTTCTCACTAAAATAGATATGGCCAAAACTAAAGGGAGTGACAACATTGTAATGAAGAAAAAAAAAATCAAATGGAGTTTAAAGGACAATATTGGTGCCAGTCATTATCACATATGTGATAGAACTGGTTAAACACATTCCAAATATTATTTTAACACAGAGATCATTGCTACGATAGAGGCGTAATCAATGCATCAACAATCGGAAATGACGAACGCAAAAGGAAAACACGAGCTATCCCTCTATATAACTGACTGAAGTGACGAGTGATAACAGATACATGGTCGAATTTCTGCTCACTAATAATTTCTTCGAAGACCAAATGTTGTTATATGAGACTGTAAGAGTATATCTGACAATTCAAAAAAGTAATTGAATGTCATTAGATAAGAGAACACGAATAAAATAGAAACAGTCCGTACATTCACGCGTGTTTATTCATTCTATCCTTATAAAAACATGGTAATGCACGGACTTTTTCTATTTTTCTTTCATGTTCTCTTATCTGGTAAGAGTCCATTTTTTTTATGAATTGTCAGATATCCTCTCAAAGTCTCACACAACAACTTTTGGTCTTCGAAGGAATTATTAGTGGTCAGAAATTCGCCCATGTACCTGTTATCACCCATCACTTTAATCAGTTATATAGAGGGATAACTCGTGTTTTCCTTTTGCGTTCGTCACTTCCCATTGTTGAAACATTGATTCCACAGCTATCGTAGCAATGATCTCTGTGATAAAATAGTATTTGGAATGTGTTTAACCAGTTCTATCACATATATGATAATCACTGGCACCAATAATGTCCTTTAATGTCTTACTGTTCTGAACAACCAGTATAATGAAGATGAGCATATGTCATACATGATAGTTGGGGAGGGGAGGGGGTATTGTACATGTACAACTAGTATGTAAATGTCATCATTGGTGTGCAAGGGAGCCGCGGTGACTCAGTAAAGGGCTGGCTCACTTATCGGGTGGCCCCGGGTTTGATCCTAGTCTGGCGTGGTTTCCCCTTGTCCGTGCCTCTCTAATCAGGAGGTCTGGGATTTGATCCCCGTGCTGACCTAGACAGTTCCCCAAACTTTCCAGCGTTGTTTCACCTTGTCAGTGGTGCAGGAAGTGGGGATGGGGGGGGGGGGTGCGGCCGTGGTGGGCAGCTTCTAGTTATTCGGATGGAAAATAAAACTGAGGTCCCGTGCACACGTTGGCGTGCACGTAAAAGAACTTTAAATTCGAATTAGAGTGTAGACCGTAACTTTGCTGTTTGGACCGAATTCCCCCTATAGCATAATGTATGGCGGGCGTATGTACATCTTCATTATCCTGGTTGATCCTGAACAGTAAGCTCCATTTGATGGTTTTTTTCTCTTCATTACAATTGCCACTCCCATAAGTATTGTTTAGGTTTTGCCATATATCTATTTTAGTGAGAAAATAAATATTTAGCCCCAATTTTTTAATCTTATCTGAACTAAAAGTTTACAGATATATTAGTAGAAATACTGTTTTGGGAGAACTTATATGCCCCCCCCCCCTCCACCTCCCAGATTCCTTGAACCGTCCATTTTTCGGGCAATGTATTTCAGTTGTTCGGGCACACGCATCAGAGAATGGAGAATACGACCATATCTCATTGAAATATAATTATATACTTGTGTAATTTTAATTAAAAATAAACAACCATCTTCATTCAGAAAATTTTGGTGACAAATAAATTTTTCGGGCAAATAGGCTCAGCCCCCCCCCCCCGCCAAGTCTCCATTACTTCATAGACATTTTGCTCAAACAATGTCAACATATCTCCTTGCTCATCAGACTAGGCGCTCCGCGCATAGTTTCTGCGTAAACACCCGCTCACCAACCCTTGCAGTCCCCTGGGACCACATTAACGATATAAATATTGGGCTTGTGTGCTCACACGACATGGTCTTGTGCGTCATACAGCATCAGCAGTCAACACAATCTTCCCTTGCAGTTCAAACAATCTCTGCTAACGGCCCATTTGACTACGCCACCAAGATTCTTGGTGTCAACATATCTCCTTGCTCATCAGACTAGGCGCTCCGCGCATAGTTTCTGCGTAAACACCCGCTCACCAACCCTTGCAGTCCCCTGGGACCACATTAACGATATAAATATTGGGCTTGTGTGCTCACACGACATGGTCTTGTGCGTCATACAGCATCAGCAGTCAACACAATCTTCCCTTGCAGTTCAAACAATCTCTGCTAACGGCCCATTTGACTACGCCTCCAAGATTCTTGGTGTTGATAGACAATGATAAACAATGCGATTAAAAACAAATAAATGATAATATATTTAATACTATTACCATATTTAATTAGAAATGGGGTCACAATTGCAAAGTAACAATGTATTTACAAATATTACAGGGAACTCTTTCGCGTAAGATTACAGGGTTAAATGGTCGGAAATACGAACTCCGCATGTCGCCATGCTAATTTTAGAATATAATACACGTGGATCTGTTTACCTTTATAATGAGATCGTAAGGCCT